AAGTTATTATTTCAATGAATTTATTATATCTGTATAAAACAGAAAAAAGATGATTACAGAAGTAGATTGATTTATCTGTATGGTGTACCATAACTGCAGCATATCATGTTCCTACATGTACTTTGATTACCCCTTTAAAGGGCTTTTAATGTGGAATTTGTAGAATGCTAATGGGAGAACTTCAGAATATTTACAAAAAACCTTTTGCAAACCTTAAGCAAGTAGAAGGTTCAACGGCACTTGTTTGAAATACCATCATGGTATTTTGGTGGCTGATGGAAACTGACACCAAGAATTACTTAGAGGTGAGCATTCAGAATGAATGCCTCGAGTTGAGAATGATAAATGTTGAAGACTTTAAGATTGAACACGGCTGTTGTCTTTAAGGGATGAAGAAGATAAAAACACGTGGTTAAAGGAACAGAGCAAGAGGCTGTAGCAACATTCCAGTAGACAGTAGGAACAACCAGGGGAAAATTGCCCTTCTTGAGGCCAGAAAAAAGGAAGCTGGAAATGAGACATGATGAAAGGATTCCAGAATGACACTTCTTGCACTGTGTTTCTGCTATTCTTAAGTATTATTAGTTACACACAAAAAGCATCATGTTTTTCTCAGCTGATAAAGGAATATTTTTTGCATCATGTCTAAGTTTTAAAGACTCTACATTAGTAAACGTACAAAAACTAAATTGCTTGGAAGACGATACACTGAGAAACAAAAGAAACTTAGAGATGCCTGAATGATCCAACCCACAGGATAAGTTCCAACCTATAAAACTGTGCAACCATTACACCATTCCTGTATATTAGTCTTACTTCTTTGAGTGCAGAAAGAAAACTTTCATGTCAGTGGCAATAGTTGGATTTGAAAAACATGATTTTGAGGGATGTTTTGGAGTATTGTGAGGAACTGGGAGCTTTGCACTTCAGTTTTAAAGTCTATAGTTTTCACCATTATATGAACCAATAGGAATGTAACAGTACATCAACAGCTTGACTCTTCTCTTACTTAGACTAATGCAATAGTGATGGCAGTGTCTTGTCACTACCTTTTCTCACTGGAAGTGAGCCCAAGGTCATTTTGTGTTTATGAGAAGGGAGAAGCTAGTGAAAAATAAAAATTCATCAGTATTATGAAACAATTCTTCAAGTAGTTTATATCACATAAAAATGATACACATACCCCAAATTATGTGGTTTTGAAAATTTTCTTTATGTACAATATAAAGTAACAATGAGATCTGACAGAAGACTAAATCATTGTGATAAATATACAGGAGTATAGGGTTTCAGAGAGTAAATTTATAGCAAGAGAAAATTAATAACGTGATAAGTATTTGCAGAAACTGAAGGAAGTTTATGATTATCATGTCTTGTATGCAAAAATGAAAACATGAGGATGGCAACTTGATAACGGTATCTAATAAAAAACATTTAAAGGAAGCAAACGTTTTTCAATTAATTACTCAAAGTGAACCTTTTTCTTTTGTTAGTCTGAAGTAGTTATTTTATAAACTTCTGTGGTTCATCATCCTGTGTAATGTGCTAAAATAGGCTTCTGTTCATGGTATGGCTAGCATGGTTTTGTACTTCATAAAGTTTGTATAATAGACTAAGCTCATATATCATAAGTTTAAGCGTATTCAAAAGCAAATTCACAAATGTTCTTTTGTAGGATGATGTTCAGTCTTCCCAAGATTCTTTACCCCGCAAGACAGTTATAAAGCTGACATCGCAACCAAGGTGAATAATTTACCTATTACTTAGTGTTGGAGATTCTTTCAGCAATGTGTGTCTTTTCACTACCTAGTAGGTTTTTATGCCATTTCATTTTTTTAACTTTCACTCAAAGGTAAAATTTAAAAGAAAAGATTCTGAAAAAAATTTTAGAAAGATAGTCTGACATATTATGCTAATACTGTCTAGTTGAAAGAGGATGTAGCACTTTAAAACTATAGAAGTTTCTCACATACCGCTAATTCAGCTCCAGCAAGTGAAGTAGTCTGTTTACTACTATATGCTTTTACAGTATTGTAAACCTTAATAAATTATGCTTGAGAGCAGCAATAGAAAATTCTAATTAAACGTAATTACAGCTGCCTCAATTAACACAGTGAACAAAATATTAGTTTTTATAAGGCCTAAAAACAGCTATGTGTAAATGCTGGTTTGTCTTTAAAATTCAAGTAGAAAGAAAAACTAGGATACTGTTTTCTCAACTCCAACTTTCTGTTGTATTAAGAAGGATTACTTCTTTTTTTGTATGTAGTTCTGTAGTGTTCAGTTGAAACCAACATTCTGCTATCCCCATGAACATTCAGTAGCCTTGGACATTAATTAGAAGTCAACTAATCCAAATGAAGTGAATAAGACACATGGATATGAGAGCTGCTATGTGTGTAAATCAAGTAATACAAGGCTTTTGCTTACAGAAGATTTAAGATTCATTTTAAAAAGTAGGGAATGCTATTTTTGCTGATGTTAGTATTTAATTTCTCTAGTTCTAGCAAGTGGCAAGCTAATAAAATTTCCTTGCCGAATTCATGAAGGTGTGAGATTGAGTGGACTAACTGCTACTATTAAAAATTTCTAATCAGATTCTTTGAGAAAATGAACAAAGTTTGGTCCTTCTGAGGTTTTGGGGGAAACTGTCTTCAATTCTCTGAAGTTAAATGTATATAATGTGTGTCTATATGCAGTTTTAATATAAAGTTGTCTCTAGAGCAGTCATGTAGACATACACGGCTTTTTTTTTTTTTAAATAGGACTTTTATTCTCTCTTTGGAGTGTTAGGTGTTAATAGATTATCTTAAACTTGTCTAACATGGTCAAAAACTCAGGTGCCTAGCTATTTATTTAACTAAAATATTTTAACTTTTTCAAAATATCCCCTCAGATATCTTCACTGGGAGAGGATTGTACATATTGTATATAAACACTTGGTTGGAGACAAGTTATAATATTACCTTTCTTTGCCGTTTGAGGATAGATTTAATGCTTTTGCTTTCCTTGCCTAGGTTAGCTGTTGAAATTTCCCCCGTGCACCTTCTGTCCCCTGACACTCCTTTTGTTCGCATCCACTGTTCCACCTACCTCTCTGCATAGTATGCTAATTAAGTTTTCCCCTTTTTGGTGTTTGTGCATTTCAGGCATTTGCCTTTTTTTTTTTTTTTCCTCTTAGTTGTATATTAAGTAGATATGCATGTCAAGCTTTTTTATTTTAAGATTAATATTTTTCTAGCAGACTTTTACTGCTGTTCTCTAAACTTGTCTTAACTTACTAAGAAGGTAACATTGGTAGATAATTTCTAATTTTACCTTGTCTGGTATTGTGAAGATACTATACAGTCATATAAGATGTGGTTCATGTTCCAAAGTCTGTGTAATCAGAATTATGGGAGATAGAATAAAGAGGGAAAAAATGTGAGGGAGAAGGGGAGAAGAAAGTTTACAAGGGAATATAGATATTGTTGCCTGAAAGCCTTTTTTTTTTTTTTTTTTTTTTTTGTAATGTCTTCCAGTTTGGAAACACTTTCAAAGCAATGCTTAAGCACATACTACTTCATATTTCCTTTGTTAAAATTTTCATTTGAATATCCGTATGTTCAAATATTTTTTCTTCTAAAAATGAACTTGGTCTTTCTAGGCTTCTAACTTTATCTCTGGTTGTAGTCTGAATCTCCACTAACTTTATTACCATTGTGAAAAGTGGTATGTAAGCTAAGACAGTAACTTTTGCTTAAATCTAGTGTGTGAATATTATGACTGTGCATCTGAGTTTTCTAGGTAACCAGTGAAGATGTAAAATGTTAATTTCAGTAGAATCTGAAACTCAACTTGATAAATTTATCTAAGGATTACTGTGCTTAAACTTCAGAGTTTAAAGCTTCTAAGACAGAAACTGATTTTTCATTTCAAATTTTGAGACATCAGCAGATTGAAAATACTGATTTTTATAAAATTATTTGGTTATCCTCCATTCACAATAGTCTTTATTGTTCATGTCTGTAGCATGAAATTGCTAGATTTCTTTCTGTTAATGTGCTGTAATATACCATTGTGTGGGGTAGAAATTAAGTCAATGTAACTGGAAAGCTATTAATTTAATTGGCTGAATATTTAGCTTTTTATCGGTTTGCATTTTCATGTCAAGATTTTTAAAAATAGCTGTATTGTAAATTGATTATTCTTAGAAAAGTTTGGTTCCTATCACCTATAAATTTAGAGGAACTCTACTGATGGGAAGCTCATAAGACAATTTTTTATCTGATTAATTACTCAATCATTTTCCTACTTTTTTCTTATTTTACTGACTTGATACTGTCAATTTCAGATCTAACCTGCTTTTCAATGGCATAATAGTTGGTAGTATGCTTTTACCTCATTCATCCAGCCTTCATTTTTGATGTTTTTTAGTTAAGTGTTCTCTTCAGTGCTTGTGAAAGTTGTAGTCAGTAGTGAAAACTGATCGGACAGACTGTACAGGAGAGCTAGTACAACTTAATTACATGGAAAAGAAGAAAAGAGGAAAAATCTGTCTTTCAGTAGTCATTGCTCTAGTATGAAGTAGCTCCAGATTGTTGCATGGTTGAGAAGTGTCTTTCAAACTGCTTATAAGTAGGTACCACTTTTAATACATTTGGTATAATTTCCCCCCTGCCTATGCATCTCTTCTCTGTAGTACTCTGTTGCTGTCTTTTTATGACTCCGTAGTTTATTAAGTAAAGTAATGTGTTAATTTCAATGAAATAGGTATGTAGAGTATTGTAAATCTTACTGTGCCTCTGCTATGTTAGAACAATTGATGATCAGGCTTTATTGTACTGAAGTTATTGTGTATTTAATTACACTAAACCGCTTTTAACTGAAAAAGGAAGTTGCCTGCTTTTTAAAAAATTGCTACTTCCAGCTGAAAAACAAAGCTTTCACAAGATAATACCTAACTAGATATGGAAGTATTTTTGTCTTGTTCTGAACTTAACATTTGTTACAGCATATCTTGGAGACAAAACCCATGACTGTGCAGGTAAATTGGATGCTGTGTCATACTTCTGTGAGAGCCCTTCCTTTAATACAATTATTGCTTCTTGGGAACAGTCTACCAGAGGTCATACTTTTAAAATGGCATAAGACTTGCACTCACTGGACTTGGGTTGGGGATGTTGGTTTGAACCTCTTGCCATCCAGTTTAAGCTCTCAGCTGTTGATGAAGGGCATGTTGACGGTGTGAGTGGCAAGATTTCCTACCTATTTCTATCTACAGTGTTTGCTGGAGACAACATTGCAGGAGAATGTGATACATGACCAAATAACTGAATTGACTGTCTGTACCAACTTGGATTTTGTAGCAGTATTGTTTGCCACAGCATGGTGAACCTAGGAGTGAATCAGACCTAACAGTATCATGCTCCCCCCCTGCCCTTTTTTTTTTTTTTTCCCCCCCCACTTCTGAACCTTCATGTACCTGACTGGGGAGTTTCAGCTGAGCTCCATTGCACTCTACAAGCATGGTGTAAGGCATCCCATCTGAACTGAAGTTACTATGATATTGAAAGATTTTTAAAAACCATTGATTTAGTATTATTTTTAGTACTAAACCAACAATGCTTATAATTTTCTCCCAAATTACTTTTTGTCAGCTAATCGTAGAGGAATGGTATGATATCCTTCTTCTCAGCCTAGTTTAATAGCTTGGCAGACACGTTTTCCAGTAGCTGAAATATTCGGGTTACCTATGGGATTAATTCTGAGTGGGATACACTGTAATCAATGATTCCTTCAAAGATCTGTCAAAGCACCAAGCAGTTTAGTGACATCTGCCTTATATAAGAAAGTTCAATTTTTCCAGATAGAGGATACAAAATAATTTGGCCTATTACCCTTGCTTCAATATCTATAAGCAGGTTTTGGCATAAGGTTGTGATTAACAAAGTTTTGGCATAAGTTGTGTTCATCTTGTTAGGTCCAAATTTTTTTTTTGAAAGAAAATTCTGATTTACTTTTAAGATTTTGCAAGTTGATTACCTTTTCAGAAATTCACTTGACGGATATACCCTCTGCTTTTTCAACACAGCACTGTAATGTAGAAATTAAAGCTATGTTATTAAGTTAAATGTGTGATAAAGAGTAATGTGCTAAGGTCAAAACTTCTTGCCAGAGCAGTGTGTATGTTACTGTATTTAGCTGGAAGATGACAGCAAGGATAACTTGCCTGAGAAGGAAACTTTGTTGGTGTGATATGCCAAAAGGGAAAGCTTTCGTGATGATGTGTAGCAATTGATTAAAGCTTTACACCACAGGAACTGTGTCTCTCTGAGTTTAGAAGGTGAATGGACTGGGGTAATGTTTTAATATTCTCATTTGGCAACTAACTTTGGTGGGTTTTTTCTTGGTTTTCGTTTGAACTGTGTTGCCCATGTTGGTACAATCAATCTAAACAGTTGTCCAGTGTAGTTAGGAGAGGGTGCTCCAACAGCATTTCACATTTTAATAATATACATTTTAATTACTTTTTATGCTTGCATGAGTTCTGAGGCATATGTATTCCTAGTTATAGATACTTGAAACAGTTTTTAAAAAAGACAATTGAAAAAAGGATATTTTCAGTTGTCAATGAGGGGAAAAATGTTTAAAGAAAACAGAAAATACAATAACATTTAAAATGAGGCCAAAAATATTTGTGGCAGTTCTTACATTAATAAGCACACTTGTTCCCCAAGGTGTGTGTGTGGGCAGGGAAGCGG